TAACTGGTAATTTAATTAAATTAAATAAAACAATAAATTTTTTCTCTCGTATCATGTCTTTGCTGGAATGGATGAATGTGGACATATCAAAATAATAGGGTCACAATTCTCAATGCGTACACGTATTTCTCAGTCACTTTCACTTCTAAGTTATCCTTTGAGAAAAATTATGAAGAAAAAGCCAAAATCGCTATGAATAACATCTGGAATGGGGCAACACAAACTCTTCATTCTACTGAAATGCCAAACTGCAGGTCAGAGTCCCGAATGGTTCATTGCTACCCTTCGGAGGTTTGAGGGTTTTGATATCTGTTGGATGTGTAAAGGGTTCAATGGTTTTGTGTTCGTTAATTATTTAATCTTCCTAGTTTTCCCCCAATCTATATTATTTTATATATTAGAGGCTGAGTTGGATCCAATGTTTGTTTATACTCTCAGAACTCACTTCAAATACAAGGTTCAAATATTATGTTTTCCATCCAACAAAATACCAAAGGTTACGGCACACCAAATATCGAAGACAGAGTTGTTGTAGACTTCAGCATGGAATAGTTTAGTACAATAACTTCATGTTGCTAATGCTACCCTCTAGTTTTGAACTTAGTCACCCAAAAAAGTCAAAGTAGAACTAGTAATGGTAAGGGTCGAATTATAACTCTGAACTTTAAACAAAGTTTCAGAAAGGGAAGATTGTTCTCTCTGTAATCTGAAAGCAAAAGAAAACACTTTTCACTTCATTGCAATTTGTCCTATCTTTTCCGAATGCAGAAGGTTATTCTTCGAATGCAGTGCGTTGTCAAGACGGGATTTTAAAAATTTGGATGGATCCAATTGAAGTTCACTCATGGAGTACACCAGAGCAGAGCGGATTTACATAGAAAATCTTTTTCACGAATTTAATTTTTTGTAAAAAAGGAGGATATATTATTCCCGCTTTGGGCGATATTTCGTTTCAATTTTCTGGAGATATTTATCTGATAAAAATAATTTTTCACGTTTAATAATTTATTATAAATAAAAATATATATATCCTACGTATGTACATATGTAAATACTTACACCTTACATGTCTCCATATCCACATACGTACATATATAAATACTTACAACTTACATGTCTCCATATCTACATACGTACATATGTAAATACTTACAACTTACATGTCTCCATATCCACATACGTACATACTTACGACCCTATACAAACTCCCCCTGAGTGCTCTACAATACTCGGGAAGGAGTTAAACCCACTCTATTCTCGCTAATAACTTGCTATTACACAGATGTCACACATTCACCAGAGAGCCTCAATTTTCCTCGGGGCGTGATTATGAGCAACCAATTCCTTTCACGCTATTAACTTCCTTTTAATCTTCAGATGACATATTCGCAAATAAAGAATTCATATAATCTTTTTTCAACGAATCAACTCATCAAAAAGGGATTAAATACTTCATTTTCGTCAGATTTATTTGTAGCATACTCAAATGATTCCAAAGTAGGGGAAGTCCGGATGTGGAGTTTTATGACCCCATGAGAAAATTAACAGACGAAAGATAATTAATTAATTAATTTAATTAGGTAACTGTGTGTGTGTAATTTTATAGGTATTATATTATATTTTCATGAATGCTGGCAGACGGAATTTCTCTGCCATATCGTTTATTTATGTTTTCCTTTCCATTTCTTCTTCTTATTTTTATTTTACTAGGGTCCGCAACAGCAGAGGTCATATGTTCATTCGGAATGCCGGTGTTTAAAATAAAGCCGTTCTGTAAGTATGTCGTTCGAATGTAGGGCCGCTGGATTGAACCCCCGAACCTTTACCTTACAATGATGAGCGCCGTGTCAACGCGCGTTCACGACGTCATGAATTTTATTTGTTCCTTTTAAATTTTCATTTATTTGTTTTTTTAAGCCGAGTTTTGAAATGTGCAAATAGCTTTTGTCGTAATAGTTGTTTGTATTATTGTATTATTTACGATGTTATCATGGGAATTGGTGAGCATCAAGGAGCAGTGCCACGGTCCGTGAGAGACTAATTGTAAGGGACCTGGTCACTCGGGAGAGTAACGGATCTTGTAGAAGGACCTTATTTCTTACCGGCTTCGTTTTACTTCTTTAAAAAGGCCAGATAAAAAGGAACAATGATGCCCTTTAATATTAAATGTGCATTACTTTTTAAACCGTATCGTTCTGTGGTCGCGGTCCAGATATTTCATTAGGACGCTCGCCGGGAGTCGGGACGTGAAAAACCCCGCCAGCACCACGCCTAACGTCATTCTGCAAATCTGCATTGTACTTATCAAACGAAAAAGGCGTTCCTACCAAAGGCAAAACATCGACCCACTTTTACAGAAAAACCCAAAACATGACCAGTTTTTTAGAGTCGCTGCATCATTTTACATGTAATGGGAAACAATGTCATTTTCCTTAAATACAACATTTTTATTTAAAATTTATCTATAAATTTTATTCATTGAATGAAATTGAATATAAATTTAGAGTAAAGATTCGATACAGTTACATTACCGTCTACCTTGCCGGTTGCCTGACTGTTTCCCGGTACGGGTGCCTTTTATGGGAAGACATATATAAAGAAACAATAGAATTGGACGTTCATATTGATTGAAAAATTCCCAGGAAGGAAATAATATCTTGTCTTTATATTATACATACACAATCATTATCACTGTTATACATTTTTTAAAAATTTGATATATGTATTTATTATAATCCGTAACCTTATATACATTAAATTCACTAGTGGCGAACACTTATTAAATTCACTAGTTTCGTGGTCCGCTTGACCAATTAATATCTTAAAATTAATTAAGGTTTTTAGTTGAGATAAAAAAACCTTCATTAATTGTAAGATATTAATTGGTCAAGCGGACCACGAAACTAGTGAATTTAATAAGTGTTCGCCAGCAGCCAAATTCAAAATGGCGCCGACGAACACCGCCGGAGAGAGGAGTTGAAGTTAATAAGATTGTTTCGGCACTAACGGGAATGGAAGATTCCCGATTGAAAAGGGGATGTTAGTTTAGGAATGGTTAAATGAAGGAATAAATAATGAACGAAAGGAGTAATTGAAGACTCACTGTTTAATGAAATTTCTATGGCTTACAAGATGGCAGATGATCGTATTGGAGATGTGAAGGCGATGAAGACCGGAAAGCGGTGAATGTTTCCTGAATGCGATATCGTGCGTTGTTCATTAAGCCGGTGTACCGACCTGGTTCTTGCAGCGGCGTTGATGATGATGCTGGATGATGCAATCCAGTGGCGATGAGAATGAGACGATGCAATCCAGGTAGTAGCCAGTGAGATGATGGAGTCTTCGGGGGATAATGAAAGGATGATTCGTTCGCGGGATTATAATGATGATAAATGGAAGAACGAGATGATATATTAAGGGAAAATGGCGATGATAGGTTTGTGGACCATGCGGTTGTGAGATGGGACGCACGCGGAGGTGAAGATCGTATGGCGATTTGAAGGGAAATGCGTGGGGATTCGCGTGGCGAGGAAAACTTTAAGAAGCGGCAATTTTACACGGAGGTGAATTACTATGGCGCAAGGATGGGCTGGAAGGGATGGATGCTTGGGGAAAAAGAGGGAAGAGTATTACGATTGGTGGATTTCCAGAGGATAGGGGCTGTAGATAGAGGGGTACAAAGTATGTCGCAAATCGAAGTATACTTCACAAAAGCTCTCCGTGGCCATTTCATTTGTCGCCGAGAATCAAATAGACTACACGACATTTGAAAAATGGCAAAAAGGAGGGAAAATTCAAAAGGTGTGGTTGAGATGGGAAGTTAATGTCCTAGTGGATCGAGGTCACGATAGCTCAAGTGGTAGAGCAGCGGCGTATCTAGCCGAAGGTCGTGGGTTCGAATCCCGCTCGAGCCATTGACTTTTTTTCTAAAAAAAAACCTTAATTAATTAGCTTATGTACATTATTTAATGTGCTGAGAGACCATGTGTCGTGATGGAATTTAACAACCATTCTCTCACTGTACGAGTACGCGAGGAGTAATCCTCGTTTATCAGGTCGCGCGGCGATCTCCTCTTCAGTCGTCTGATGGGATTATAAGAGTCTATTGGATATTCGAAAACTCGATTGATTTGAGAAAAGAGTCTATTGTGGAGAGTGGAAAATGTTTTTGGTATTATTTTTTGAGCAGGAGGGATTTTGTGGTCATTGTGAAGGGGGATGTTGGAGAAATAGTAAGGAGCATTGACTACCGTGCTGGGGACTTTGGATAAGGAGGACCATATTCTTTGAATGTTGGAAAGTTTAGCGGTGTCCCACAGTTCTAGTCCGTACGCCCCAGTTTCTTTTGTTGAAACGTCAGATTTGCAAAACAGTAGTCTAAAGAGTCCAAACATGTATTTAATTCCTGTTGTTTTAATCGTGTGTGTAAGTTCCAAGTTAGTCTTGAGTCTTGATTGTACCAAAGGTAGCGGACTAAGTTTTTGGAATGGGAGTATTATTCAGGACTATTAAAAGCGGGGTTAGGGTACGAAGGGTAATGATACACAGTGATGATTGTGCTTTCATTACAAAGTATGCTCCATCCAGTTGTTCACAGGACATGTACCTGGAGCTCTGAATGTTATAAATGAATAATTTTTAACGACAAACGTGGACAATGCCACAGAAAAATACAATACTTTGTCAAAAAACCATACCAACATCATAGCTTTTAAGAGTACTTCCTTTCATTTTTATTTTTTAATTATCACTGCTTATTTCATTGTTTTAATTGGTTGTTATGCTCTTATTGGTTTCTGTTGTCTGTATAAAATAAAAACTGATGAAGTGTATGTGTTCCTGGCAAGCTTGACCTGGACTTTTTGAATTAGCCTAGTTTATAATAAAAATAAATAAAAAAGGTTATTTCAAATGCATAATTAGAACATAATTTACCTTTTGATTTTATTAAAACACCCGCTTATGTTTAAAAAAAAAATTAATGTCGCCTATGTTTTCAGGTCATGCGAGGCTTGTTATTAGTCGTGTGTCTGACGTTCATCGACCATTCATCCTCGTTCGGCGGCGATGACAAGTTCTTAAGAAAATACGCAATGATGAAGGTAAGCTATTTTGAACAATTTCTATTTGTTTTGACTTCGGCCGAAATAATGTTTTAAAAGGAAAATCCAAGTTGGACCATTTTACCTGTCAGTTTTGACAATGTGTCTAATAATAAATATCAGTGAGTCATAAATTATCAATTATAAAGACAAAAATATATGCCATAGGAAATGATGTGCTTATACAAAAGAACTTGGGTCGATTCTCGACTTGGTGCACTGACAATAAACTGTTATTAACTTTTCCAAATGTAACCATATTTCCTTCTATAAAAACGTAAAGCCTCATCAGTCTTCGTATTTCTTAGACGGTTGTGAATTGGAGAAAGTTTTGACCATTACTAACCTCGGGGTAGTTTTTGATAATAAATTCCTTTGTACCTCATGGTATGGTATGGTACGGTGAAAAAGAATACTAGGAAGCGGGGTTTGCACTCCCCAGGCACCGCAGCCTTCTGGCTTATTGTACCTTCCTACAATAGTTTCTTAGTCGCTGCTGCAATTTGATTCCCTAAGTTTTTTCCGTACGTTAGGTTAAATCTCCATTGAGCTGTTGCTTCGCATTAGAAGATGATATGAGTTCCCTCCTCCTCATTACATAAACACATTACATTACATTTGTACCTCATACTGAATCAGTTATAGGTCTAACAAAACTTAGGGTTTTCTTATGAGAAACGTCAATGACTTTAAAATATTTTTGCCGCTAAATGTCAATACTTTCGTGTTGTGAGAAGTAGTAAGTTGAATGTGTTCGTGCTTTGGTATCCTCGGGCTTGTAAAAGTAGCCTGCTCCGTATAGAACGTGTCCAGCTTCGGTTCTTCTTTTTTAAAATGGGTCTCAAATGGGTCGGTTTCGAGTGTAAGCAGTGGTTGGATTATGTGTTCATAAGAAGATTGATCCATCATGTCTGGTCTGTTTTTATGTAAAATATTTTTTTCAATTTCACTGGGCATTCATAACAGAAGAAGAGGAGCGAGCAGCACCCCGAAATCGATACTTGTTAAAGAAAAGCAAAGTCTACTATATATGGAAGTGTGTTTTTGATACGAGACACAAATCCATTTAAAAAAGGCAATGGTATTAAGGAAAGCCAAAGGGTCTAAAATCTTACACGAAGACATTGGTTTTCTTTCAGTTTAAGTGTAAAAGGGAGAAATCCCTACGACTTCAAAAGGAAATAAAATCTTCTGCTGGTGAGACTTATACAAAATTAAGAACAGTGTTGAAGAGTTACTTCGTATCAGGTAACTTCAAGAAATTCAATGTTGCCTAAAATACTATCGTCTGTACAGCGCACTAATCTTTAAACTTTTTATAAAGGTGTTGCTTTGAAGTAACATTAGGGTAGAAAGAGTATGGGATACAATTAACGAAATGTGTACGTGATTAATTTTTCATGATGATTTTGTATGGTAGAATTGTCTGTTGTTTTGTTTTTCTGAAAATTATTAAATTCATTCATCTAACTGAATTATGTCAACTAAAAACCTTAACTAATTGAAAGATATTAATTGGTCAAGCGGACCACGAAAACTAGTGAATTCATAAAACTTGATTCGGTTTTAATGGTCATATAGCTAGCCAATTTTGATCTACCTTGTAAAATCGATTTTACCATAGCTGTACGTTCGTATTGCTACTTAGTACTTAGGTCCAAGATGAGTTTAATTTCTCCTCCTCCTCGCCAATTTTTTTATTGGCAAGTTTAAGGAAAAAGCCATGATTTTTGTCTGGTTTCTCTTGAGCCAAAAAGTGTCGTCAAGAATATCTGGATACCAGTAGGGACCTAATTATTAATAATTAATAGCAAGACACTCGTCAATATACTTTTTGAAAGGTTTTGTGACTTTGAATTCAACTGTGCAAACGGTTTTTAGTTTGGAACGACCGTTTTCAAGTTAAAAAATGAAATCTCCAATATCTTCAACCAGCCACCTGGATTAATTCTCAGTTGACGAAGTGGAAAATTCATTTTTCCAAAAGCAATGCTCGTAAGTAGTGTTTTGCAAATACTCTGGAGAGTTAGTTGAAAACTTTTTGGTTCATTAAACCACATTAAAAAAAAATTATGTGTCCTGAGGTTATTTCCAAGAACGTTCCAATAAAAAATAAGGGAAATAGAAGTATTTTTTCCTTTGGAAATATTTGCCGTATGATTTTATTATTATTGTATTATTTTAAATATTTTACTTTATTATTTTCTTTTGATGAAATAGAAGTTAATCTCACCATCCAAAACTTTCATTTTTAGACAAATTTTAAACCTGTTCCTTGTCATTTGAGACTTACGTGATTTTCGTCTCTCACCCCTATTTTTTTTAATAATCCTTATAATTGATATAACGAATTAACAGTGTTTTACAAACCATTTTTACGAGCCCCGTTTGGATTGTGTAATTCTCCTGCTGTTTTTGTGAAGTATGTGACTAACATTTTCGAGACTTGATTTACAAAAATGTTATATTTTTGTAAATCAAGTCTTGAAAAATATTGTTCATGTTTGTTACATCATCATAACGATGATGTATTTTGATGATATTATCATTCCTGGAAAAGATGAAACTTACGGTTTCATCCAGGGCGGATGAAGAAGAGGATGGCTGAACGTCGGAAGTGCCTGGGTGCCCAAGCGACAGGGGGGTAGAACGAGTTGAGTTGAGATTTGTCCGTTAAAAAGTATAGATGTTTAATCATTTTATTTTGTTCAAATTGTGTGATTAAGTTTTATTTTTGTTACTTGTAAACAATAAAATTCATAAGTCATTTCGAGTTCAATTTTAATAGCCACTAACTTATCCAGTTTTCCTACATGTATATTTTTCATTTTGAGTGAGGGACCTGCAAATTTATGGGTAAAATATTTGTTTTAAAAATAGCATAAAACACTTCTATCTTTGTCCGTTTACATGGATTTTCTGCTACAACAGCGTGTGACAGCGAGTCAGTTTTATTTTGTACCTAAATCTACCGATTTTGATTAATGTTCATACCTAAAAGACGGCTGACGATTGAAATGTCAAGTATAAACGTTAGATGGTAGAATAATTAAGTGAGAACTCACTGGAATTGCTGAACCAAGAACGAAGCTTTTAAGTGCAACTTTATTTGTTTTTTTAGGTATACGAGTCCTGTTTTGGACAGGAGGTGGTAAAGGAAGTGCGGATGGAAATGAAAGCTGCTGCGTCCAAATGTGCCGGAAGTGGAAACGGAATCCAGCTGGGCGGAGCGGCGTCTCATCAAACGACAAACCCCCAGCACAACCAAATCAAACAAGGAATTGTAACAAGCACGATGCACAAAATTCATCATCAGGTGAGCCATTTTTGTTTATCGTATACATTGCTTATAGGCGATTAACTGATATCGATCCTTTGCAGAAACCGCACCACTCGGCCCTAGTGTCTTCGCACGAATCTTTGCCTGAGGCTGCTGCCTTGCACTCGGACGGCCAGCATCAACAGCAGCCGAATAAACAGCCGACTCTCGACTTGGCCAAGCTGCAGGAAGCAATAATGGCCGGTTATAACAACAAACAGTCCTACGTAAGCGCCAAATATAACCGTTATTGACTTGCTAATTGTCAAGTTTAACAAGGATTTATTTTTATTGAAGAATAAAAATCAATGCGAACGGAACCTTCTTGCTCATTATTAACTCGTTTATTTACTCACTTAGAATACAAATTGTATGTTTTAGAAATAACGAACTATACGTCATCCTTTAAGAAGATCTACATACATGTCAACATCCGTTAGCCATTTTTCATGAATATATGCTAATTATACAATTACTAACCCTTTGGAATTTTATTACATAAAAACCAGCTTGAGAATTATTATTAAGATGCGTTAATACAATTAATAATTGTGTAATAATTAATACAATTAACACAAGTCATAAAGTCCATGTACACTTAATTAATTAGAACCAATTACATGAATTTTTTATTTTCGGCCGGATAACTGCTTCGGTCATTGCCGGCACCACGCGTATATCTTTCTCACATTTTGAAAAATCTGCACTTTCTACTGATAACTTCGTTCTAATTGGCTACTCATCGGACCTTGCGGTTTTTGTTGCATTTCTCTTTGTATCCCTCCACAAATTTGTAAATTGAAGTATTTGACCATTTAGATACACACACATTCATAATACACATTTATACTAATAAACCTAGTTTCCTAATATTACAACTAAAGTGGAGGTCGGTAAGATGGTTCTAATCCTGCCGACCTCCTTCCATTCTCGCGAATAAATACATTCAAACGGTACAAATTCCACTCATACATCAAACTAATCCTAAGGTTTTTTGACGGGCCTGTAAAGTACTCGATATTCCTCGACAGCCTCGTCCATCCACACATAACCTCTCACGCTAATAAATACGATCATACTAGAAAGGACGCAGCATCTCTGTAGTATTACTACAACCAGGACGCTTTCGACCCTTCCCACAATCATTCTACAAATGTATTATCACTAACCGAAATCGGTGGGCCTGTGAGTTACTCGATATTCAGTCACAGTCTAAACCACTCACGCTAATAAATACGTTCATACAGTACAATGGGGGTCAACTACATGTGGGGGTTATATGCGGCTGTAAAGGTTTATTGATTTTAAATATGTCATAAGTCGATCTTTATGGTCGCTGTTATGCCTTAGAATTTTTCAGATATTGGAAGATAGGTCGCACCGCTCTCTGTGCCAGATGTTCGCATTCTTCTAGGATGTGCTTCACTGTCACAACTGCACCACACAGAGTTCATACCCTGGGTCCCTTTCTAATTAAGAGATGTGATATATGAATATTATAATATAATTAATTGGCTTTAATCTTATAATTTTCAGTTTTGAAATTTTTCTATACTATGGATGGAGTTTTTCAGTTTGAGCTAGTCTGTATATAAATCAGGCTGTCTCATTTGAAGCTTTCCATAAAATCAATTATTCTTTTTCTTGACCAAGTTACGTTTTGTTCATCACGAGATGAATTTGTTTAGGTTCGTTAGTTGTGACATGAATTTCTTCTTTAAATTGGATTATCTATCCATCTACTTAAATGGATGGATGGTTGAGAAAATTTTATAATCCCATAGATCCAGAAAATCTCTTGTTTTCTAAATATGAGTTTTTAATGTATCAGGTTTTCCTTTCTTTAAATATGACAAAAATTTGAATAAAACTTTTGCTATAAAAATATTTCATAAAAGAATCCAACATGGCTTATTGCAAGACTTAATATTCTTGCATATTTAGTACTTGAATTATTTCCTAATTCTGTTCACTCCAATAAAGCTGAAAAGTTTGTCATATTCTATGTCCTGCCAATTATTTCATTGGCACGAATAACCAAAGTCCAACTGTAGGATGTTTTATTATTTATCTCATTCCTGGTGTAATAATTTGTTTCTTTCATAACTCTGTGTATTAGTTCATCAAAGAGTTTAACCCTGAGGAATAATAAAGTACAATTCTGTGTTGTTTTTCTGTTAGACCCAGCAGACTTTTTCTTCGTCGAACCATCACCAGCCTGGATTCGCCCAACAGCCTCATTACCAACTGGGCTTTAGCAGCCGGCCCTACTACCAGGCTGCCCAACCGATGCCCTATTATCCTCCACAGCACGCGCCTTACCCTCAACCTCCTCAGCCGTACATGCCGAGCCCCTATTACCAGCAGGCTTACCAACCTTATCAACCCTATTATGGCCGTTCATCCGTGAGTACACAAACGAGACATAAGAAAAAGTCAAAATAAATAGAATATTTTGTACAGAGGGATCTGGACGTGAGAGGACAGCTTGAGACTCTGACGACCAGGATGTCCGGCAGGATAAGGAATGTAACTTGCGTCATGCAGGAACTAGGATATGTAAGTCCAGACGACTTGCAATACTAACTAACCATTCATTTGTCCATTTTTATGTTTAGCTTGATAACAATTTAGAACCAGATTACAGTCGCATGATTGATCGAATTGCAAGACTTCCAGTTGCCGACGATCTGAAGAAAGACATGACCGAGGGTGTAGACTTTTGCAGACAGTTCTCGGTATTTGTTTTCAGATAAATGACATGCGAACATTGAATTATTTAAGTTCTTATTCGCAGCAATGCGTTCCTGATGATCGAAAGGACAAGCTTATCAGAGAAATGGTGAGACCGATGTTCTTCTTCAGATGCTACAAAGTAAGTAACAGCTTGTACATATAACAAAAATTACTACCAATCTTTTCTTAATTCTTTATTACGAAACTCCCTTACTTTGGAAATATTCAAACATAACCTCTTCCTGAAAACTGGCAAACCAGTTCACAAAGCCTCATCATATTGCCCAATTAGCTGACTTCCAATCATGTCCAAAGAATTTGAAAAAATTCTCCTCAAAAGATGTTGCCAAAATTAAATTCTTTCTTACAGATCATCAGTTTGGCTTCATTCCACAGTCCAACAAGTTTTTCGCATTGTAGACCGCAAAGAATATTGTATGGTAGGCTTTCTTTATACGCCACAAGCGTTTGACCATGTGTGGCACAAGGGTCTCCTGTACGTGTCTTATCAAATACCCTCTACTTAACCCTCCGCTCTTGGCTAACAGAGCAGTTCTTTCGGGTCTGATAAGGATCAAATTACTCCGAAACTGCTCTCTGGCCACAGAAGTGCTTTATACTTGCATATTTTGCCAATGACACAGATGTACTCTTAAGTCCTACTCCGATCCAGCCATATCACATGTATAGCAGATTGGTGTAGACATTGGAAAATGATGATAAATGCAAGCAAGTGTGAGTACATGTCACATTTACACCCCGAAGCAAAACTGTTCTCCCAATATACTACACCAACATTCCTATACACAAATCCGATTGTGTTCGCTACTTTTGGTTTCCCTAAACTTATTTATACTTAACATGAAAGCAGCATAAACAACTGAAACAACAAAATTTGAACAGAAGTTACGGTTTACTCTACAAACTTAAAGGACAAAAATCAAATTATGATTTACAAAAGACTACTACAACCAATTTGGGCACACGGTGTTAAACTGTGTTTGTTACACCTCTAAGCCTTCTCACATCCAACATCTCCAATCCTTGCAGTCTAAAGTTCTCAAATTAATTATAAATGCTCAAATTAATTATGTCTCCAATTTACCCTCCACAACGGCCTTAAAATCCCATTTATCCAAAACATAATTTCTCAAAAATTTACCAAGTTTCATAATAATAGTCTCATCCAAGCTTTGTCCAGCAGAAACCATCCCATAAGGCGTCTCAAGAGGAAATGGCCCCCGCAATCTCCTTTCTGAGGAGTAGGCAATGAAGTTTATTAAGTGAAGTGGCAGAATAATATTGATTATTTACTCCCCACAATATAAATATTTAAATAGCTGTAAATCTATCTATATTCGTCAAATTACATGTTCCAAGAAAGAATTGCAGAATGTAACAAAATATTGGAAAAGAATTTCTACAATTCTTTATAATCATTAGTTCCTTTCTTACCAATTTGTATTGGTATTTTATTTGGAAATTTGTGCTGAACTTCCAATTTAAATTTGGGATAAAAAGTACAATTGCACTTATGAATATTAAAAAAGTGGGTGTCGGTGGCCATTGACACGACGCTCATCACTGTAAGGTAAAGGTCCCAGGTTCGGAAAAAAAAGAAAGTAATAATAAGTAATGCAACATTTCTTGATAAGAGGTTTTTAATAATACAGGTATGAATATGTGCTTTTTTTAATCCCTGAATAAAATAAAGTCACAAGTTGCTTTACAAGCTCAGTATGCATTTTTTTTTCAAAAGAAACATTTCAAATTGAAGTTATTATTTTTTTTAATTTAAATATTTCAATTTTTGCCATATCTCTTTGTTTAGCATAAGAAATTGGAGGCGTGCATAATGAAGGATGTCAGAGAGCGTTACACCAACACGGACGATTTGACCGAAGACAACCTGACAGGAAATGACAACCGAGTGGCGAAAGAGTTTAGCGAAGACAACATGGCAACAGCTATCTACGAGTTCCTATACGGTGGCGACAACATTGACATCGATACACTTCTCTGATGACGATTTCCATTCGATGTCCCAAAAGATATTTTGCACCAAGGTTTATAACGGCTGTTATTCCTAATGGCAGAATGACAAACATGTATTGTGTGTGTGTATGTGTGTGTGTTTAATTGCCTTTTTTTAAATTAAATCTGAATGAGGGTCATGCTACAAATCAAAATGCAATCTGTCATATTCAATTTGTTTCAATCTTTTAACCTTCATTCAAGACAACATGAAGATTTCCGGTTAAAGGAATAAACCTAATATTTCAGATTTAATTTGAAAATTTAAAATTTGAAACTGTAACTCTTGCAATTTGGTATACAGCATTCTTGTATAGAAGGAATACTGTATTGTGTAAATAGATGTTTTTAGATAGCATTGTTACAGTTTTGAATAGACTATCGTATAATTATATTTATTAAAAATAAAAAAATTAAAAACATTGAGCATTGAATATATTTCCATTTATTTTCCTCTGTGGTAGTGAATGATACTGTAATATTGTAATTCCAATTTTAACCAGAGATAAAATGATAAAGCAAATATTATTTTTTATTTTGCATAAACTATGAAAAAATAACTTGGGCTTTAGGAAGGGAAGAGGATGTGATAACATTTTTATATTAATATGTTTTTAGTTGACTTTAGCTGACAAAAGAGATTGGAGATTCAAAGTGATTTATAATTTTTTGTAAAGTGTGGTTGAGATGAAAAGGTTATTGCTGTAGTGGGTCTCGAACCCACGACATCCGCCCAATATGCTGCTGCTCTAACCAATTGAGCTATCGGGACTATGATCTGCTTGGACTCCAACTCCTTATCTCAACGTACATTACACATTTTACCTCTTTTCCCGCTATATTTTCAAATATCGTGTAATCAAGATTCTATTCTCCGCAACTTGGTGGCCACGGGAAGCTATTAGCGAAGTAAGTACTTCTGTAATTATTTTATTAATCCATATATGTATTTAGTAATCATAATTGACCGTATTAATTACTAGATTATTCGGAATCGTGAGATGCGGTCTGGTGTGATGTAGGTTTCAGAAAAACATTTTCTTTGTCGTGTCAACGTTTCAATCTTTATTGAGATCGTCTTCAGGGCTTGGGATTTACGAACATGGTTTAAATTTAACAAACACATGTAGGATGTGGAAAAAAAGTTAATTTATCCAATGCACAAAATATTTTTTATATTTAATTATTCCAAAATCGGGAATTAATAATCACCACACATTTTTTATGTTCAATCAAAGTATTTCTACTCACTCAAAGTATTTGTTTTCTGCTTAATTGTGCCATTCTTGTCGTGTTGAGAGTGCCAGTGAGATATTGCTGTTTTATGTTTATATACGTGGGATTTTGAAAGGGTGGGGAAGGAAATCGGTATAGAAAACACATTTTGTATAAGGAGTCGGCTGCTTTGAGGTGAAAAGAGCTGACGATGGGGAAAAAACGTTGGTAATGGTTCGGCCAGATTATCCTTTCAGGATTATATAGACGGGGATAATTAGGGAAAGAAAAGCTAAATTGTTGAAAAATTAGACTATGTAAAAGTGTTTGATGTGTGGGATGTGATGATTGTTTTACACGTTTTGTGTGATGTGATGATGATATATGTATGTTATCGATATTGAATTTGATTAATGATATTGGCGTAGCTGTGACTGTCTGTTCAGTAATTGATGCTGTGTTTATCTCTGTTGATATAAACCATTTCTAAAAAATTACGTTTATGTTTGTTTTGTTCTGTGTGTAACATTTTTGGATTGTTGAAGTCGAAATTTTGTTTGTGTTCAACTGGTGGGTAGCGAGTGGTGTAGGATTTTTTTTGGGTTTTTTTGCAATCATAGATATTCTGCTTTACTCTCTTATCGAGGTATTGGGATGTAAGACCGATGTAAGTTGCCGGACAGTTTAAACAATTGATTTTGTAGATTACGTCAGATTTATTTGTTATTGGTGTGGGTTCTTTAATTTTGGAAAAAAGCGTTTGAATTGTTTTATAGTTTTAGAAAGCTATTTTAAAATTATCGGACGAGAGAAATGTATTTAATATCAACAATTTAGCTTTCCTTTTTCTATTTATCCCCGTCTATATAATCCTGAAAGGATAATCTGGCAGAACCATTACCAACGTTTTTTTCCCATCGTCTTTCACCTCAAAGATGCCGTCGCCTTATACAAAAACGTGTTTTCTATACCGACTTCCTTCCCCACCCGTTCAAAATCCAATCTATATAAACATAAAACAGCACAATCTCACTGGCACTCTCAATACGACACGCAAGAAGGGCACAATTACGCAGAAAACAAACACTTTGAGTGTGTAGAAATACTTTGAATATAAAAAATATTTTTTTCCATTGTATAAATTCACTTTTTTCCACATCCAGCCTATTTGTTAAATTTAAACCATGTTTGTAAATCCCAGGCCCTGAAGATGATCTCAATAAAGATCGAAGCGTTGGCGCGATAAAGAAAATGTTTTTCTGAAACCAGTATCACTCCAGACCGCATCTCTCGATTTTCGAATAATGATCACTAACAGTCACTAAGGTTTTTAGTTGAGATAAAAAAGTCAGTGTCACGAGCGGGATTCGAACCCACGATCTTCGGCCAGATACGCCGCTACTCTATCACTTGCGCTATCGTGACTTCCACACTTTATCTCAACTAAAAACCTTAATTAATTGAAAGATATTAATTGGTCAAGCGGACCACCAAACTAGTGAATTTAATAAATTTAAAATGAAGTATACTTCACTAAAGCTCTCCGTGGCCATTTCATTTGTCGCCGAGAATCCAATCCGATTACACGACATTTGAAAAATGGCAAAAAGGAGGGAAAATTCAAAAGGTGGGGTTGAGAAGGGAAGTTCGTGTCCGACTGGATCGAAGTCACGATAGCTCAAGTGGTAGAGTAGCGGCTATCTAGCGGAAGGTCGTTGGTTCGAATCCCGCTCGTGACACTGACTTTTTTATCTCAACTAAAAACCTTAATTAATTGGTCAAGCGGACCACGAAAACTAGGGAATGAAATAATTAATATTAACATTGAGAAATTAAGACTCATTGTTCATTTGTTTTGCTAACAAAATGATTTCCAGTATTTATTTTAAGAGAAAGAAATTGCTCTTTAATTTGGATGAACCTTACGTATCTATCAGGCTCCTAATTGACTCAATGTACTATTTAATCAACTGCCCTGTCGTGATGTCTTTTAGATCAAAATATTTATTAAATATAGTCGGCAGTGTATATTGTCTGTCCATGTCAGTTCCTTCGAAACTCCTAATTTTGCTGGAATATACAAGGAAAGGGATGTTCCCCGACAGTCACACCTGGTCAGTCAGATAGGATCACAAAATAAGGTAAAAGGTACTGGGAAGATTCTCTTCTTGAGTCGGTGGCCTAGCCTATGTCTAGGAAGTCACCCGAGCAATCGATTTTCACTCAAGAGAAGCGGCAATAGTGTCCAATGGTGCAGTAGAGTGAAGTGAGCAGTAGCTAAACAGATGGGTTGGTATGGTTTTTGCAACCTCAAGTACAAATATTGGGTAATTTGGAATTTTATATTTGCCATCTTAAAACATCATGATCACACACCGTGTTGGAAAATGCGGACATAATTATAAAGTTTGTATAAATTAATAGAACAGTGTATGCAAAGATGCTGCTTTTGTGGTTAGAGTCAAGGAGCAAATTTCAGAAATTTTCCCCGTGGGGTTAGGCAGGGATGCATTTTAATCCCACCTTTTTCATTTTCTCTTCATTGATGGGGGTTTGCAAGAATGAAGTTAAAACATTATTATGTGCTGATGATGTCATGTTCTTAGCTGATAATTGAGTAAGTTTACAGAGGAACATAAACATTTTAGAAAGATATTATGAGAAATGGAATTTGATTGTTAACCTTGCCAAATCTAAGGTGGTCAGCTTAAGAAAGGGTGGAAGGTGTCATGCGGTGATGCAGGTGTCTTCTACTTTAAGATGGATTTAACAGAATTTGGCCTGGCTTAATGTTAAAATACAAGATCTCACTGAAGAAAGCTAAACTCAGCATAAAAAAGCAAAATAATTTTTAGCTTCCCCTCCTCAACTTCTAGTTATATGAGCTATATAGCTATTTAGCGACATCCATGTACCAATGATGGTATCTACACGGTGGCTTCACTTTAAGAAATGCTTGAAAATTCTTGTTCTCCTAATTCCCTCTTACAGAAATTATTGTTCTTGGGATTATAAAACACAATATGTTCTGGAACTCTCCCACTGGCATATGCTCCCGGGTAAACTGCATCCACATACAAAACACAAGCACATACACTGGCACAAGCACACTATCATTATACTCACCTTAGGAGATCTTTCCCCTCGACATGTGTTGGGGTGGCCGATTCAGACCGGAGCACAAGTGGTCTGCTCGGCGGGGGACCTTCCTGTGCTGTTACATGAGCCAATTGGCTCCAGGGAAGTCTCAAGGGTGTGGTTGGCAGTGTACACGAGTACATCCCTACCAAAGCCCCGTGTGTTAAAGAATGTTATATTAAATCTATGTTTCATTGGGGGGCCACCCTGCCTGGTGGTGTGTCGGGATTTCATGCCGAGAAGTTTTCCTCAGCTCAGCCTGGCGTGCTCCGGCTGCTTTGAGAAACTGGTAAAGCTGTCTTCTGGCAGCCAATACTTTGATCCCTGATAATATGCAAAGACTATCAGGTGCCCGTTTTTTGTGATCATCTATTAAAATTTTAATCTAAATAAACCAGACCGGGGTTAAACATTCTATCATATTAAAAAAAATTATGTGATTTAGAGGCAATTATAATTTTTCATTTATCATATAAGTTTTATTTTTAAAACAATACCATTAAAAATACAGTAATGCACAGATCATAATAAAAAAGAATTTTTTTTTAACAGTTTAAAACACTTAAGTTTTTTTCTAGTCTTTTTTTGTAGTCAAGCAACTTGTTATGTGTTGCAAATTATATTTCTATTGGAGCAAAACTATGAATTTTAAAATAACAAATCTTTCATTTAAATAATATTTGGGAATTATTTTGACAGGAAGGCTGTTTTTAACATTTTTAACTAAATGTACTTTACAACGCGTCCTTTAATTTGTTTGAAAATTAAACTAGCGCACACCAATAATCTCTGACTCGAAATTATTTTGTTCACAACCCCATCACATTTATTTTCATTATACCACAAATTTATAAAGGCTATATACACAGAGAATGTTTTAGTCTCAAACTCAATTTTTTTTGAGGTTGGAATATTTCATCTTCCCAACAGGACAGAGAAATGATCGATCCCAGCACTAAACTATTACTTCATAAAAATAAACTTTCCTTGTAAAGTTTTTCATTAGTTAATTTTTGTGATCCAAAAACTACACTATAAATCAAAGGACAGATAGTATCAAAATCAGAAAACATTAGATTTCACGTTTTAATTTTCTCTTAAAATTTAATAGATTTAACAATTCGGGCACCATCAGATTGAAAAAAGGTTATTTCACATTAAGGTAATATGTTTTTTAAAATAATTGTCTTTTTTCCTAGATTACATAAACAAACTTTCAACTGGAATCTCTGATATTTACAAGCGTGAACATTGAAAATAGAAAATACATTATGTACAGAACAAAAACAAAATATTCCTTTTTTAATCTCATTTTGTTAAACTTTTAACGTTTTTTCGCCTATATTTGCATTTGTTTCATTTAATCACATTTGAAGTGTGCTTTAGGAGCACAATAGAATATATAATATATATTATAAGATAAAAGGACATTCTATTGAGTTTTATTTCAGACAATCCCTTTATAATTTGCTAAATTTGAAAAATCTAATGGACACAGAAATATACACTGTGCACCAAAAGTAATTTTGGAAAAAAATTGACAAATTTGGGAAGCAATATCTCATATAAAAAACAAACGAGTTTCAAAGGTGATGGGATATAATTTTAACAGTCAGTTATGCACATTGCTTATAATTGTTTTCCATTAAATTGAAACATTAAAATAATATTTTTAAATGTTATTAAATAAGATATTGTTTCTCAAATTAAAAGTATTAAAAATGACTCATATGTTCTTTGTTTTTGTTGCACTGTGTAGTTTTAATGATTTGTATAATTTTTTTAAAATCTTATACACACTATAATACACTCCGCCACTTTTTCATTTGATGTTCGCAGATTAAAAAAAAACTTCCTCATTTATTTGACGATATGATTCACTCTTTCAGCACAGACGATCAACTATTGAAACATTAATGTAGGCCTTCCAGAGTGTTCATACATGGAAGAGTTCCCCATCATCCTTATTTTTGTTGAGCTGGTCACAGATGCGGTTGAGATCATCGGCCAATCCTTGGATCTGACCGTCCTCCGAGTGTCACACCCTCAGCTCGTCAGGCATCGGTTGCTTCGGCTTCCTTCCTAGCGTTGCTGTGTGGGGAAGAAGAGGTTGCGACTCTGGCGGTGCTGAGGGAGGTCGCGGAGTTTTAGGATTGGGCAGTTGCCTTGGAAGCGTGCTACTCCCTTGCACCAACGCTTCTCTAGCACCAAGGGCCACCGTTTCACAGCTTTGCTTTAATATAGGTGCTGGCATGACTGTGTTTCTTGTCTCCATTATCTGAAGAAGTTCAGTGGCACCTATAAACAGATTAATATGTGATTAGAAGAGTACTTTGAATATCGTATGACTTTCCAACTAAAACGTTAATTTCAAATCTACCTGTACTAAAATTACGGTAATATTGATATGTTTTTAAATTATGGACAATGCAAATAAATCTGACATGATGATAGTGATGTTCAGTTTGAAAAATATTCAAATCTTTAAATTATTAATGATAAAAAACAGTAACTAACAACAATTTTAATAAAAATCAATTGATATTTTGGACAGTCTAACTGACCAATTATGTGAAAATGCTACATACAGATGAGTCATGCTTTAGAAGAATATACGTAACGACGTATTAAATTATGCCAGGAACCACAGCCGATAAAAGTTTTATATGTAAGTACATTGATAATTTAATTAAGATGAACGTCAATTTCTTAAAAAATATCATTGCTGTAAAAAAGAGAATACTTCAAGGGAACCCTGTCATCATTATTTTTTTTAATATAGAATTTTGGTATATATGGTGGGTACTATACTATACTGGATGAAATTGTTTACCCTACATGCCTGCTCTTTGCAGATGACGTAGTACTTTTGCTCAGTTAATAGTGTTAGTAATATAAACTTATACAAAAGTGTTAGGATAAGATTGGAGTGTGTTGATAAGTTTGTGTAGGTCGTGTGTTTGGATGTGTGGGTATGTCAGCAGTGTAGACGATGTAGAACATTCAGCTAGGATACTTCCTTGTGGAACGCAGCTTTGATTGATGTGATGAAACCGTCGATTCGAGAGGAAGAGCTTCAGGATAAGATAATAGGTATGAGGGAGGATACTTTTGAACTTATAAGGAGGCCGGGGTGCCACAGTCGGCCAAATGCTTCGTAACGTCCAGAAACAGGGCTGAGCAGTATTGTTTCTTTTATAGAGCCGAGGATATCGTGGCGACTACTCTGAAGCAGTGCTGAACAGTGGAAGTGAGAGGTCGGACTCCGAATTGGTGGTTAGGAATTAAGTTTTCATAATCGAATATGGTAATTAATCTTTTAAGGGGAAGAGGTTCAAAGATTTTAGATAAAGTAGGAAGGAGGCTTATTGGTCTATGGATGGGGCACTGTGGGATTTGTATGATTTGGGTGTTGGGGTCATGAAAGATAGTTTCCACTGGATGGAGAAATAGACTGTGCAAAATATTGTATGGTAAATAGATGTATTTTGCACTATTGCTTTTGCTGCGTAGATTTCGGAGAATTTAAGGGGTAATAAGAGCGTGGCCCGGAGATTTCCTTTCAGAAACCAGAGAATCTGAGACATGACGTCTAAGTGTGTATGGGCTTAGATGGTGGAGCGAGAGGGAGAGGGGGTCAAGGATTTCATTGATATGATCTAAGTGTGAAGTGATAATCAGATCGGGATGGGGGAATAAAAGCTGTGGAAAGGTGGTCGGAAAGGAACGGACACGTTTCAGCACTTACCTGGCCTAGGTACCGTTCGGACATCTAATTGGAGAAGAGATACACCCCCACCAAGGTAGTGTTTGGTAACCTTCCTAGAATCGAGCCGAAGGGAGTTGCCCTGTGTGGTGAAGGATTCAAGGTATAACTGGAATACGTACGGCATTGGATAATTCGAGTTTCAAAACGTAAGTGAGATGGCTAAATCTAACTTTATCAGAGGGGTAACAAGTTAATTCTTGAATAAGAAAAAATCTGTGCCGTTATCCTAGTCATGATACAACAAAACAATAAGTGGGAACAATTTAGTGGGGAAATGACTACTATCCTTACCAAGTTAAACGACAACCAGAGATGGATCAGTCGGTCACCAAAGAAAATACTAAGCAACTACACATCACTCTTCTCAAATCAGAGCATCACTGTTCAAACAAGTTACCCCCCTCCCAAGATATGGATCTGAACGTCACCAAACCCCAACAAACAAACGATACCGCTCAAGAAACTGCTCAGTCGCTGAAGCGCTTCAATAATTTTAAATAATATTGACAACTTCACTGATTTTTGCAGTAACATCGCTAGTATCATTGGAAATAATACATTTCATTGCTGCACTCGTACCAACGACTAATACAAACTCTCGACAACGATGGTTTAAGGAAGACAATAAAGTACCTAAATGAGAAACAATACGATTTTCATGGTTTCCAATTAAAAGAAGACAAATGTTAAAAAGTTGTCGTACGAGGAACCGATGGAATAAAGACAGAAATATCTAAATTTGGATTTGGTGTCAAAAGAGTACACCAAGTAGCACCCCATCACTCGAACTTGCTTGCCTCTATTCTTCGGCGATCTTGTACAGAATAAAAAGAACTCGGACATTTTTTAAACAACAGTACCTCATCTACACAAAAATAACTATAGAAGATCCGCGACAAAGAAACAATATCCCGCAGTGAACGAAATGCCAAAAATATGGCCATACCGGGCATGCTTCTACCACCAGCCTCAAGTGTGCAGGACTTCACCCTTCATCGTCAAACCAGCGGCTTACCCGACACTTGCGTTCTATACGGCGGCGCACACCCCGGCAACTATCGAGGATGTGCCACTCATAAAGAATTGCAGTATATACAAATTCATAGGCAGACCAACAAATATCCATCAGCCGTTACTGCTCCACCGACCTGGACACCGCCAGCACAGTTGAAGCACCGACTTCTATCAACACACCTCAATTTCTATTTCTTTTCCCCAGTTTCCGATCATTTTTTCGTGTATTTTTCATGGTCAGTGACTGCGCTAATGAACAGTAATGCTAAATACTTCAAGTTCGCGTCTCAATGATTATACTAAACCATCACGACCGAGAGGTCTTGTAAAACTTCCTCCCTATCGCACAACTCACTCAACCACTCTCGCACTCTCTCTCTCTCTCTCTCTCTCTCTCTCTCTCTCTCTCTCTCTCTAACTCTATATATCAATCCACCACTAGGTGATTTTTTCTTCCTCTTAATCATCTATTTATCCATCTATCTCGTTACTTACTCCTTCTTTCTCTCTCTCACCCCCTCCTGGTCCCTTTCTACCTCTTTCACTCATCCTCTCAATAACTACTATCTAATAACTAACTACCGCTCTCTATAATTATCTATCTATCTTTCCCACCCTGCTTGTGGCGTCTCATGACACTAAATGTTTAGGAAGAATAGGTGTAACATGTTTTTGTTTGTAGTTTTCAGAATTTCTTTTTTTTTAATCTTCCCTTGCTTGTTTACAAACAATTCGTCCAATAGTTCCTTTTTAGTTGATCCGGCTGAATTTCGCTCGAACCAATGGCGCTGTCAAAAGAACAAAAAAATACGTGTTTAATATTTTTTTAGTATAATTTCAAATTATACCTCTTTTCGGAGAAAACGTGTACAGGGTGGGGTGCCTCTGGCGCAGGTCAAATTCATAATTTCAAATACGACCCTATAAATGACAAATCATTTAAAGGATGTTTTACGCTAAAAACAATGGTGGAAATGGATTTTAAATTGATCAACATGTGACAAAGTTACGGCAAAAAGTTTGAAGAAAACAGTTTGGTTTACTTTTATTAATCATATTACATGTTCGAACTGCCTACCTTGCGTAAAAATTGCCCTTTTTAACCATTCTTCACCGGTGCCCAGAGCGATAGAGTCGGGGAGATGGATTTACAAGCAGTTTTTACCTTTTGCCGCATTTCTTCTACTGAGGTCAACAGATCGGGCCATGAGGTCCTATCCACCTATCCCGGAAGTGACGATTGAAACAACTTCTCACCAGCTCATCAAGCAGGAGAATCATTCTTTGTCGTTGTTACGGAGGATGATCATCTAACAGTGTTGGTAAAATCTATCTCAAAAAATTGAGGAACTAAGCACCATTTAAATTATTTTTGTAGAAATAAGGCCCAATAAATCCACACCAAACGTTGATACTATGAACCACCTGATGATGTCAAGAGTATGAAATTATCGGATTTTCCTCTGCCCACGTTCGAAAATTCCAACGGTTTAGTATGCCATTAGAGGTTAACCTGGATTCGTCAGTCCGTAGGATGTATAGAAGTGCGTTTTCTTAAGCTTCACAAATCGACATTTGTTTAAGGATGAAGATGTTCAAGAAATCTATCATAATCGGAGTCCCGAAGTCCCTGGGAAAGTTGAGAGCGATACGGCTTAACATTGTAAGCCCGGAGTACATCTCTAATTTTATTTTTTTGAAATACTTAAAAACCTTCCAACAATTCGGAGAGTGGAATTTGGATTTTAGCGAACGTACAGTATAATATTCAGCTCCTCGTCGAAATTATGATGCCGGTTTCTTGGTGATGGAACAGCAACTGATCCGTTCCTCATATTGCGAACAACTCGAATAAACGTTTTGTGGTTGACTGAGGAAATTTCTTGGAATGCAACTCGCCTGCGCGACGCGCAATACCACCACTATCAATAAAGCAGTCGGACTATAAACTGGTTGTTGATCGGAAAAATGCTCTTCGGTGCATTTTGAATAGAACACTGAACGTAACGAATAGGTGCTATTGTAAAATTTATTTACTTCCGGGAATTAATATTTATTCACAAAATGAGAGTTTGACAAATAATGACAGAAAGTAAACAATAAAGGCAATTAATGATTATTTTGAAGTGAAGAGGCAAATTATTGGAATAACACCGAAACAAACGAAATGCGTTTTTTCAAACTTTTTGCCATAACTTTGTCATTTTTTGGCCAATTTGAAATCCGATTACACCATTGTTTTCAGCGTAAAAATCCTTTAAGATTATCTCGATGTATAGGGGCGTATTTGAAATTTTGATGTTGAACTGGCCACGAGGTACCGTGTATTTTTTACTCCAAAAAAGGTTAAAATTTGAAACTAGACTAAAAAATATTAAAGTTGGATTTTTTGTTCTTTTGATAGCGTCATTGGTTCAAGAGAAATTCATCCGGCTAATCTTAAAAGGAGACCCTTTGTGATGTGTCACCTTACACATAGGTAACCGTGCTATTGACAATTTCCAAAGATTAATAATAATCGCTAGTGATAATCTAATAATAATAAAATGCAGTGTATGTTCCGTAGAAATAGCTTTTGGTCAAATACAAAAATACTTATTTGAATGGAGTGTTCACATTCACCATTAGAATATAAAATGGAAATATTTTTTGGAATTTTTTAAAGGAATAATATGCTGGATGATCATAGAACAATCCTCCTGAAATCTTCCAAAACATTTTCATCTATGGTGGATTTTTAATGAGTACTTTGGGATTTAATCCGACCCAATTTAACTAACCCATCATTATATATATTTCGAAGATTACAAACATTTCAAGAAAACGAGGTCCAAGAATTACCTCCAGTAACACAGATGTTTGCCATTGGTCCACCGTTTTCAGTTCGCTTTTTAGCTGTGGATTGAATATTGTCATGGTTGTGGTTGTGTCCATGACGTTTGTCCCTCCTGTAGTACACACCAGCGAAAACTAGGGCGTTCAGCAGAAGCAAAGAACAGCCTAAAATCAAAGTCCGATTAAACAAAGCCATAGAAAAATAATTATTATAATTACCAATGGCGATGGTGGCACTAAGAGCAGTCGAATAAGCTGTAAAGCCATCCTCTTGTTGATCATGATTGCTCCGATCGCTGGAGGAAGGCGCCACAACAACCAACGGTGGCTGAACGATGCTTGAGTTATGTTCAGGTATCGAAGAAGCATACACCTCAAATGTGACACTCGATGTCGGCTCCGCTGGCCTTTTTGATGTCGGTCCGTGACCCTGGAAATAGCAAGCAAACAAAAATCATTCGTCGAATAGAATTTTGTCTTGCTGAAGGCAGTGAGACAAAATACAAAGGTTACTCTATAAAAATATTTTTAATTTTTTAAATCCATTATATTTAGCGGTCTGATTGACCAAATTACTTCTTTGAATTAATTAATCTTTTTATGTAAGGTTTTGGTTGAAATGAAATGGTATTTAATAACAATTTCACCGACCATGCTAAAGCAGATTACAGAATACTTTCTTATCGAAACCACAAAGTATAGAGAAATGTGAATAATCACCTAGAAATTCCTCCTTCTTTTTTTGTGAGTAAATTACTCAACAGGTCTTCATTTATCGGGCATTACAAACTCTGGAAAATTTAGCGACATTCCATCCTCTCTTCTTTCAATTACATTTATCCCTTCCTCAATCTAACAGGGACTCTTGGGGTGGGCGGCGTATTGGAAAATTCTCTTGTTCTATTTCTCATAAGTCAGTCAACCCTTTTGAGCTCTTCCTCCTCAAATTACTTGACTGCTGGGTGAAATAGATGGATCAAGCTTACATTGGATGTGGTAATCAAATGTAAAAAGGGGCAAAAGGCGCAGATTCTCTTCAAACAGGCAACGTCTTCCTAAAAGTACTCCATGCCACAACTTTGTCATGGTCTTTTGGGAAAGTGTAACAATGTGAGGTGTGTGACCACCCAAATTAGCCTGGTAGAGAAGTAATCACTTCGCTAACATCTCCCCGTGGCCACTTCTTAAGTTGCTGTGAATCGAATCCTGATTACACGATATTTGAAAAATGGCAAAAAGAGAGACATTTCTAAAGGTTGTAGGTAGAGATGGGTCGTTGGTGTACAGGTGAATCGAAGTCATGATAGTTCAAGTGGTTCGAGGAGCGGCGTATTGAGCCGAAGGTTCCGGGTACGAATCCCTCCCGTGACACTAACTTTGTCATCTGATCCTAGACTTTAGACAATAATATAATTAACTGAAATAATTAAATAGGCCGATTAAGCTTAAAACTTATGGATTGATAAACCATCTGGATTACAAATAATCATAAAAAACAACACCAACTAAAACCGAATAGCTCCGATTTTATCGGCGTTTCCTTTCGATCTGAGAGCCAGAGCAACACTACCCATTCAGGTTGCATTTCCCCCACTCACGCCTCACTGTACCTTTCATCGTCGGATCTGACCTGTGTCAGGTTATACGACACCACTGGTATCGCAAGTGTAGATGGAACTTTATTATGACAATTACCTCTGACATACTAAGATATTCGGACAATTTTAACTTGTACACATTGTAAATACCTAACTGGTTTATTTTTCTTCTTGTGTATAAACAAGTTCTACCCCCATACGTTCACTTTCTTTCATCTTGTCGCAATACTCATTTTAAGTTTTATTTCTTTGTTCTGAATTGCCAACTTTCCAAGAAACATTATTTTATTTTCTACTTTTTAAGGACGCAAACATGGTGGGTGGTATGTTGCAAAAGCAAGTATTTAGACCTTGCTCCGTCGCCTAGCCTTATTGCAGCGCAGCAACTCTGAGTCTCTCTCATTTCATTATGTTACATTAGGGAGAATTAAGTTCATTTTGACTGTAAAAATCTAAATCAAATAAAATGAATACATTTTTTTAGGTATCTGTCCGGAAAATTGAATAAAAACCTTATAAAGCAATAAAATAATTCCATTATACAACTGTAGCAGAACGTAAGTGGAAACTATACATGCATGTTTTTAATACTTTTTAAAAAGATAGTTCCTACTCACAGTAAGTTGTTTTGCAACGATCCGGATTTCGAGCCTTTTAGCTCATCATCAGGTTGAAGGACTTCTACAACCTGATGATGAGCTAAAAGGCTCGAAATCCGGATCGTTGCAAAACAACTTACTGTGAGTAGGAACTATCTTTTTAAACAGTATTGAACACCACACTCACTCCATCATTTCTATTAATTTGCATGTTTTTATGTTATTTATATTACCTGATTTTTCGTCTCGTCGTGAAGTTGGTGATGAGCGGAAGGGACGTCGTCTCCTCCTGGTTTATGCAAATCTGGAACGAGATTGAGCCAAAAAGAAAGCCTGTGGGCGCGGTAGTGATTTTTGAGCTTTGGCTTTGTATCTAAAACAAAGGTGCAAGTCGGAATTATTAGTCGGAAAACTTAATAATAGAAAAACATTGTGTTTAGAGTTTTGATTTATAAAAGCACTTTTACTCTTGGAGAAAGGTAACAAACCCCCTAGAGATAAAGCTTACCTCAGCCACTCAAGCTGTTAAAGAAGTGAGAAGACATTTAAAAGTTGAAACCTCAGAAGGAGAATAGAGAGTTTTTAGTAAACAGGTATTTAATGATGGCAGTTTAAAACATTTAAAATAGCCAAGTGGGACCTTTATGGTCAGGGTATTTTTAATATTCCCAACCCTTTGTTTCAACAAAACGAACTGGGAAAACCTTATTTAAAATTCACTTTTAAAAAATTAAGACCGTCAATTAAGAAAGTTTTGAGTGATTAAGTCCGGTCTTTGTTTTATTTCTGTCGATAATTAAGAAGATTACCTAGGCTTAGATATTTTTTATGAACGGCTTCGTAAGGGGTCCATTCGATGTTTTTGAATCTGCTTCTCTCCTGACGAAGGACGTGGGTCATGTCGGCTACCTGAGGTTCATTAGGATTACTAAAGAGAAGAAACAGTACATCAAATAACATTTTTAACTTCATCAATACTAAAATTAAACATCGATATTCACCCTGTTCTCGCAAAATTACTCCAGTAGATCATGGTCGCCTCTGATAGGAGAACTTCTGCTTTGGTGTAATTTTTGGTGAAATGTGATATTCCACCAACAAGTGGCGCTCCAAAAACGTAGGCCAGCTCTTCTCCGTGTACGCACCCTTGTCTCTGAAACAAAAAAGAAAATTACATCATTAAAAATTGTCGTTGTCGTGTTACATAAATGTATGTAGTCCCTAATGTTTCATCACTATTTCTAATTAACACATCAAGGAACGGTATGCAACTTCCTTCTTCTAATTCAAATGTGAACTGTACTTTTGATGGAAGGTAGCTTTTACTAATGTCTCACCGATAAAAAGACTGTTCACCAGACTTAATATACTTCCCCCATTTTTTCCTCCTATGGGGGAAAATTATATCTTTCTTTGTTTATTTTGTTTCTAGCTGCCAACAAGTAGTTTAATTGAAAATATTAGTTTTGGAGATTAATGTTAGACATAAATTCGTCTTTTGTTGAAGTTTTAAAGGTTTACCCTAACTATGATTTTCAAGATAATTATTTTTTTAACTATTAAAACTAATTTTTGGTTTTTTGTTATATTTATTTGTAGCTGGTTTGTTTGCTTATTGTAATGTTTATAAACATTTACTTTTGATGTTGTTGAGATTAGAATATTTGATTCTTGTTTTATTTTTAATATTTTTTTTTCTCAGGCTGAGGTGCTGGTTATTATTTTATTATGGTCTTTTTGTCTTTTTCTGTTTGTGAGGGGGTTTTGGGTCTCTCTCTTTTGGTTAGTTTAATTCGTTGTCATGGTAACGATGGTCTTTTTGTCTTTTTCTGTTTGGGAAGGGGTTTTGGGTCTTTCTCTTTTGGTTAGATTAAATCGTTGTCATGGTAATGATAATTTTATGACAATGTCTATATTAGTATGGTACTGGTTTCTTCTTTATTATTTTGGATTCCTGTTGCTATATTAGGACTTTATTGGGAAATAATAAATTATTTATTAATTTTGTTTTTTATAAGTTTTTTTAGGAATTGGTTTTTAGGATTTTTTAGTACATTGTCTTTCTCTTTTGGTGGGGATATTTTTTCGTGGTTTTTGGTTTACTTGTCTTTGTGAATTGTTGTTTTAATAATTCTTTCAGGATTTAATGTTAAATGCACGGAGGCAGTTGTTGATTTTTTAATTCTTTGTGTTTTGTTACTTTTATTTTTGGTTTTGTGTTTTTTAACTACAAATATTTTTGTTTTTTGTTTATTTTGAAGCTACTTTAATTCCAACTTTGTTTCTTATTTTTGGCTGGGGCTATCAACCAGAGCGGTTGAATGCTGGGTTTTATTTATTATTTTATATACTTTTTGCTTCTTTACCTCTTTTATTAAGTATTGTTTTTGTAGGCTTTCTATCAGGTAGATATGTTTGATGATTTTTCGAAGGGCTTGATGGGATTTATTTACATTTGTCTGTAATTTTAGCTTTTTAATTAAAATATCTATGTTTATTTTTCATTTTTGATTACCCAGGGCTCATGTTGAGGCTCCTGTTTTTGGTTCTATAATTTTAGCTGGTGTTTTATTAAAATTAGGTGGTTATGGTTTAATTCGTGNACATATATATCTTTTGTTTTGGTGGGGTTTGGGTTGCTAGGTTCTGTTGCAGCGAGTTTTATTTGTTTGTTTCAGACTGATATTAAATGTTTAATTGCTAATTCTTCAGTAGCACATATAAGTGTAGTTATTTGTGGCTTGTTTACTTTTAATTTGTCAGGGTTGCTAGGTTCTTTTATTTTAATATTGGGTCATGGGTTGTGTTCTTTAGGATTATTTGTATTAGCAAATATTGTGTACGAACGTTCTTGTAGGCGGAGATTATTTATTAATAAGGGTTTTATTTCAATTATGCCTTCTATGAGTTTGTTTTGATTTATATTGAGAGCTAATAAAATGTCTAGTCCTCCTTCTTTGAATTTGTTAGGTGAAGTGTTGTTGTTAAATAGAATTATAAGTTGAAGAAGCTTGATTATGCTTTTCTTGATAATTAATTAATTCTTTTATAAGTTGTTGTTATAGTATTTATTTATACTGTATTACTCAGCATGGAAAAGACTCCACTCACACATACAGGATTTATCCCAGCAAGTGTTTTTTACTCCTAAAGGTGTTTGTAATAAAAATCAAAAAACTAAATGTATTTGTATGTTCTAGGCGTTCTCTTGTATACCTTGAGAAAGGAGATATATCCTCCGAACCGTCGGTGAAATAAATGTAAGTGAAACGAGTGGTGTCACTTTTTAACTGAAAATCCCCCCCCCCAAAAAAAAAAAAAAACAACAGAGAAATTTTAATAAAAAAAAATAAATTGTCTTTCAGCGTTTATTACAAAAAGCAATGATTAGCGTCATTTTGTTTGATGTCACCAACTGAGGATGATCGAAAGGAAGGCAACGTAATGGCCGTAACCATTACCTATCGGATTCACAATACAAAACAACTTATATAAAATATTATTGCCTGATATATGTAACTTATGTAAAAACTGTATGTGTTCTTATTATTATTATTATATTATGTATTCTTCTTGGTGGTTGAGACGCGACTGATATTCACCTCACAAATAGAAAGACCATTTCTATGGCAATGAAACATACAAAAACAAATCGCCTTGGCAACGGCGACCTATAAACACTGGTGCTCATAAGCGAAAAAGTACATTTGGTTCCCGTAGCAACGGGAAGCGTAAACATTCTCTCCCCTTAGCTACGAAACCAAACAAATAACTGTTAAAATTAAAATTCAAGTTAAATTCAGGCGTAAAAATTCCCTTTGTTCTAGAAGTGGCGAAAACCTATTTTAAAAAATTTAGTCCGTCAGCTCGATTCCACTAGATAGATCATTGATCTTCCTCGTAGACTGAAACTCCGATGGCCACGTGAGTCCCTACATAGTGACGAATAACATTGAAAAAGTGGCCATTATTTATTTGCTCTACTGGACGAGTTTTCCTCACATGTTTTCATATCAATTTCTTCTTCATGTTCTTACATCATTTTTCCCGTTGTAATTATTTTATAAATATAATTAACTATACTACTATATTACCTAAATAAAAAGTTAATTTTTATTTTTTAACTTCCCTTAAGGGCCTGATTACGAAGTTAATTCAATTTTTTTCGTTATAACTTTATATTATCTTTTCATTATTTTGAGGATCAATACATTTTTATGACACATGAAAACAATATTTTTACTACTACTACTTAAGTATTAATTTTGAATAGCTCGCAATAAATGTCTATCTTACCAAAAATCCCCTTGTTGACATAGAGGGGTTTGCTAGCAATAGGTCTAGCAATAAGATTTATACAAGTTTGTAAATTTAATTTTTATTTTTGCTATAATGTTCTGTTCTATAATATTCAACAGTTGTTTGTCGACATCTTGGAACGCATGGAATGCAAGACATGATACCACCTCCGGCTTTCTCCTTTCTCTCTGCCGTTTTGAAAGGGTTTCAAAGGGACTGGCCAAATCTGCAGGAATTTTTATTTTTTAAAAGAGATGGCACAGTACGTGATTTCTTTTAACGAATATTTCTTACACACAATGTGAGAAAAGATAAATCTAAACTTTTTTTAAGATTGATGTTACGTTTACACGATTTGGGTTTAAAAAAAAGTCTCGTCTCTTAGTACATATTATTGGTGATTACTTGACCGTGGATAACTTTCGTCGTATTTATTTAATCATGATCGATTTTCGGGATGGAGGTCAGGCAAGTCTAACTACTAAAATTGAATTATAACAATTCGAAATTCGTCTTTTCACGGCTTAGGCCGAGATACCGTTAAAATGCTCTGATTGGCGGTTGTCTCGTTTTGTTCAATTTTCAAACATCCTCCTACACAAGGAAATAAGCCGATCTTCACGATGTAGTAGAAAAAAAATTCGTTTATTTTTTCAATGTCTAAAGTTCGTCATAGAATTAATTTTCTCGAGTTGAATTAAACTATTAAGATTTACTCCGTGAGGTCTGAAGATTACGTAAATTGAGTTTGCTCGCTTTCTAAGGTAGATCTCGTCTCAATTCATTTTGTCTTCAAAGTTAAAAGTGAATCATTACCTTCTTCGGTTTACAGAAAACAAAACTGTCAGAAAAATAGTCCGGCAGAAAGATTTAACTTATTTAAAAAAATTGCTTTGTGGTACGCGGCTTAAGCAAATTGAATTTATTTTCGCATCTTTATAGTTTTGTAAAAGCTCGTATTTTTCAGAAGGCTCATCTTTTCATTTACACTGTACTTTCAAAGAAATCAACGATCATGTTATGGTAGTTTGTGCTCATCCTTAGGGCATCCATAAAACAAAAAACGACCCTTTAGAAATACAACAACTACAACAGAGTTCCAGCTCTAATACACACCAACCAAGAGAGGAATTTATAACGGACGGCTTTATTTGCCACATACTGACAATCGACCAAAAAAGAAAAACCTTCAAATAAACAAAATATTACCTTAGATATAATCATTATGAGCCTTCAATATTATATTTTTAATTAATTAAGGTTTTTATTGAGATGAAAAAGCCAGTGTCACGAGCGGGATTCGAACCCACGATCTTCGGCTAGATACGCCGCTGCTCTACCACTTGAGCTATCGTGACTCGATCCACTCGGACACCAACCTCCCATCTCAACCCCACGTTTTGAATTTTCCCTCCTTTTTTGCCATTTTTCAAATGTCGTGTAATCTATTTGATTATCGGCGACAAACGAAATCGCCACGGAGAGCTTTAATAAAGGTATACTTCATTTTTACTTATTAAATTCAAAAGTTTTCGTGGTCCGCTTGACCAATTAATATCTTTCAATTAAGGTTTTTAGTTGAGATAAAAAGAAGAACGAAAATTCGATGGGAAGTTAGTGTCCGAGTGGATCGAGATCACGATAGGTCAAGTGGTAGAGCAGCGGCTTATCTAGCCGAAGACCGTGGGTTCGAATCCCGCTCGTGACACTGACATTTTATCTCAACTAAAACCTTAATTAATTGAAAGATATTAATTGGTCAAGCGGACCACGAAAACTAGAGAATTAGAATTTTATATAAAAATCCGGGAAAAGGCCAATTGGGAAGGAAACACTCATTTCCAGTCGACCTTT